GCTTGTTATCAAAGAACATTTTACCAACCTGTGCAAATTTATCATATTTTTCTTTTTATGGAAAGGCGCATTTTCTTCATAACAGTCAGGCTCTGGCCAATGAATTATTAGACCTAAGTTAACGTTTACTCTAAGCAGGTAAATTCCAGGACGAAGTGTAGGCTGACTTTCATGATCTTGATCAACCCCGGAAGAGTCCAAACAAGTAAGGCGATTATACCTACAATTACAGTTCAATGTATTAACACTCAACTGTTCATAATTTATACAAATATCGTATTATAAATGTATACTCACATTGCTTTGTCGATAGTTTTAGTTTTCAATAAAAGTTTCGCGATTAATATATGATTACCATAACAACCAATGAACTTTAACTTAGTATGATTTAATTTTTTGTAATTGATATTAGAAATCGACTTGAAACTATTTGGCTCTAAATCATTGCAAAGTCTTTTCAATGACTCCGTAGAAATGATTATCCTGCCAACTTAAAGAAAGAGATTAAATTATTAATTACCAATAAATATATAAGTGATCAATTATGAATCTATTAAGCAAAAACTTACTACGTCCATTTGATCCATCATCTATACACAAGTCGAGTAAACGATATAGCCCTGGGATAGTTTCAGACAAATCTGAATCGTGCAAATAAACTGCAATTAATAATTAATTCAATTGTCTTTTGGTTATTTTTCTGAAAAAAGCGGCATTCTTATTTTAGTAATATCGATATTGTCATCATAATAAATCAATTTATCAATCGTTTGTCATTAGATATTTTATCTTTTTCTTTTTAAAAAAAAAACTTTAATTTTTACCAGTTGTTTCACTAAAATTTCTGGACATTTGGAATCAGATTATTGATTAGTAGAGAAAAAGACAAGGATGATCTATATTCTTATCTATTAATCTTAAAAGTTTTATATGCATTAGTATGTAAATTAACAAGCTTGGCGATTAATACCGGATATGAAATAAATATCATTGTTTCCACATATAGCAGTTGTTGCAATACGTATCGTCTTGAGAAAATGATGCAATTCCTGCAGAATGACAAGATTTTTTGAGATCATTCGGATATATATATTGGTAGATGCTGGTGAAACTAAATAATGCTGGTGAAACTGGTACTATCTAAAACCTTATTGGTTATTATATTAAATTTCACCAGTTTCACCAGCTTCACCACCATTCACCAAGAGTTTCATCAGTTTCACCAGCATCTATAGGCACAATGATAGATAAACCAAGTTAATTCTACCGTAAACTGCTGAATCTTGTATCCGGGTATTTACATTGACTAGAGATGTCCCTGGGTGTTTTTTTGTATTTTTTTCATTTCGTTTTGCCAATCTTCTAAGCTTTTTGGAATATA